CCATCTCCAGCCACAGCCCAAAGCCTACTTTGCAGGTGCCCCCCTGCAGGCCACGCACCCCCAAAGCCCCAGCCCTCCCCCATGGGCTACCTCCACAGGCTGGCTCCTGGGGGGGGTCTCTACCCCAAGGGGAGCCTCTGTGTGCGTTAGACAGGCTGCACCTCTGCCCCCCAAACCGGGCTCCGTCCACCCTGCTTTGCAAGGAAGTGTCAGGGCTCAGATCTGTCTCCTCCCCCCCGCCGTGTGCTCTCCCCACAGCTAGCAGGGGTGGCAGCACGTGGACCCCGCTTCTCCCCCAGCATGCTGCCCGGCACTGGGACCACGCCTGCTGGGCCTTAGGGCCATTTCCACGGCACTCGGGCTCTGGTGTGGGAGAGACAAATAACCCGACGTGGCCCTTGTGCTGAGCCTGCAAACGCCCCGGAACTCCTGGAGAGCTGCCAGGTGAGTCAAGCCCTCCGGAGCCATCTCCTGCCCCCCAACAGCCATTCCCCCTTTCCTGGGAAGGGCCTGCGTTCACACACGGACTCCCAGCCTGGGCACAGGCCGCTGGGTACGGCGCATCTGCCCTGCGCGTCCATCGCCAGAGGACGAGGCCAGATGCCCGCCCGGGAGGTGCAGCTCCCCGCAGGCCAAAGCAGGAAGCCAGGCGGGACCCCCCTCCAAACACCCGGACAGCGAGCGCAGGGCTCTTGGCACGGAGGCTCGCTCTGCTGCCGGGACCCCAGCGGCCTGAGCCTGCAGGAGCGGAAGCGGGGACGGGCTTTCTACTCCTCCCCCCGCAACCGGCCCCTCCCATCTCAGCACTCACCCGGTGGCCAGGCCCTGCTCAGCCAAGGAGGAGACCAAGGGGCGTGAAACCAGCTTTTATTGACGGTTCCCCACGGCCAATCCAAGCCTGGCGGTCCCCGCACGACAGCAGCCGTCACCCACAGGGCCCGGCCCCCGGCCCAGGGGGGGCTGCCGGCACCTCGGCGGGCTCCTGCGCTCAGCCCGGGCTGGCTGGGTAGAAGTGCTCCACCAGCTGCTTCTTGTTGACTTTGCCCATCTGATTGCGGGGGATCTCCTGCACCAGCAGCAGCTCCGCAGGGACGGTGTAGAGCGCCATGGAGTCCCTGCAACAAAACACAGACTTGCAATAACCCTCACCGTCTTGGGGGCACCTCCCCTCCAGAGCCGCCCGTCGGTCTGCCCCCAGTGCACCTCCCTTCCAGAGCCGCCCGTTGGTCTGCCCCACCGTGCACCTCCCTTCCAGAGCCGCCAGTTGGTCTGGCCCACGGTGCGCCTCCCTTCCAGAGCCGCCAGTTGGTCTGGCCCACGGTGCGCCTCCCTTCCAGAGCCGCCAGTTGGTCTGGCCCACGGTGCGCCTCCCTTCCAGAGCCGCCAGTTGGTCTGGCCCACGGTGCGCCTCCCTTCCAGAGCCGCCAGTTGGTCTGGCCCACGGTGCGCCTCCCTTCCAGAGCCGCCAGTTGGTCTGGCCCACGGTGCGCCTCCCTTCCAGAGCCGCCAGTTGGTCTGGCCCACGGTGCGCCTCCCTTCCAGAGCCGCCAGTTGGTCTGGCCCACGGTGCGCCTCCCTTCCAGAGCCGCCAGTTGGTCTGGCCCACGGTGCGCCTCCCTTCCAGAGCCGCCAGTTGGTCTGGCCCACGGTGCGCCTCCCTTCCAGAGCCGCCAGTTGGTCTGGCCCACGGTGCGCCTCCCTTCCAGAGCCGCCAGTTGGTCTGGCCCACGGTGCGCCTCCCTTCCAGAGCCGCCAGTTGGTCTGGCCCACGGTGCGCCTCCCTTCCAGAGCCGCCAGTTGGTCTGGCCCACGGTGCGCCTCCCTTCCAGAGCCGCCAGTTGGTCTGGCCCACGGTGCGCCTCCCTTCCAGAGCCGCCAGTTGGTCTGGCCCACGGTGCGCCTCCCTTCCAGAGCCGCCAGTTGGTCTGGCCCACGGTGCGCCTCCCTTCCAGAGCCGCCAGTTGGTCTGGCCCACGGTGCGCCTCCCTTCCAGAGCCGCCAGTTGGTCTGGCCCACGGTGCGCCTCCCTTCCAGAGCCGCCAGTTGGTCTGGCCCACGGTGCGCCTCCCTTCCAGAGCCGCCAGTTGGTCTGGCCCACGGTGCGCCTCCCTTCCAGAGCCGCCAGTTGGTCTGGCCCACGGTGCGCCTCCCTTCCAGAGCCGCCAGTTGGTCTGGCCCACGGTGCGCCTCCCTTCCAGAGCCGCCAGTTGGTCTGGCCCACGGTGCGCCTCCCTTCCAGAGCCGCCAGTTGGTCTGGCCCACGGTGCGCCTCCCTTCCAGAGCCGCCAGCTGGTCTGCCCCATGCTCTTTGGGGACAGCCCTGTAGCTGAAGACTCCGTGAAAGGAAGATGAACCTCAAGAGGCGCTCCCTCAAGTCACGGGTTGGGGGCACACATGGGAGTTAAGGGTTAGAAACCGGGGATAAGAACACTAAAGCAGCAGTGGAAGAGGTCTCTGACCTATGCCAGCAAGGAAAGGGTTAACTGTCACCCTTCCTCACCTCCTGCAAGACCCAGGGAGTCCCTCCGGGGAACACGGCTTCCCTTTGCCAGCATGTGAAGGGTTAACCCCAGGCTGGCAAAGGACTCCCGTTCTACAGCCAGCAATCGAATGCCTCAGACATCCCAAAGGGCCTGCGCCGTGTGGGGTGTGGGCAACACGATCCTCTCAGTCGTGCGGGCCCAGGCGCGTCTGGCTGCAGCTCGCTCCCCAGCGCAGCTCGCCAGACGCCGCTGGGTGGGGCCGCTCCTGCGGGACGGGCTCCATCAGGCTCCGTCAGCACGTCCTGCAGCAGGGCAGCAAAGGGCCCTGGCTCGGAGGGGGCCGTGGAGCCGAGTGCGTTGGATGTTGGAGAGCCCGCTCAGAAGAGGCATTTCAGGAAGACGATGAACCCACAACCCACCGCTTCCTAAGGATTCAGCAACGGACTTGACCTTGTCCCATCCTGATTTCTGGGCTCTGACCCTGCACCATACCCAGGGGAAAGCAGCGTTTCTCAGACTGGGTGTCCTGACCCAAACGGGCGTGGCAGGGGGTTTCGGTATCGCCACCCTTCCTTCTGCGCTCCCTTCGGAGCTGGGAGGCTGCAGAGCGGCAGCTTTGACCGAGGACACGGCTCTGCAGGCATCAGTGCAGAAGTCAGGGTGGCAGCATGCAGAATTGCCACCCTTACTTCTGCCCTGTTGCTGGCAGGGTCTCTGCCTTCAGAGCAGGATTTCCAGTCAACATCTGCTACTCTCCCTAGCCACTAGCTCTGAGGGCAGTATTGCTGCTAGCAGCAGCACTACAGAAGTAAAGGTAGTACCGCAACCTTCCCTTTGCCCACAATACCTTTGCCACCTCCCCACAACTCCTTTTTGGGGCAGGACCCCTACAATTGCGGCAGTACTGCACCCCCCGCTCCAAACGCCTTTTTGGGTCAGGACGTCAAGGGCAACACCGTGACATTCCGACTTCACTCGCTGAAATCAGGACATTGATGGGTTTTGAGACCCTCGGAGCACGAAATTGACTGAAATGGGCCGTGATTGGCAGTGGCAGGGAAAGCAAATGCTAAACACCGCATAGCGTTACGGAAGCACAAACGTGCCGAATTACACGGCTCTGAACGGGTCTCCTTGCGACTAGTCGCTTGGCCTAGAGCAGATATGCGCGCAGGCTGGCCGGCCATGCCCAAATGTGCCCCTCACACACAGACCTGCATGTTCTTACACGCACGCGGCCCCCTGTTCCTTCCTTCCCTCCCTCCCAGGAACCGAGTCTCTTTGGCCTTTCAAGCGCAGGGGGCTTGTCTCCCGCCTCCCGCTGCCTGCGTGTCACCCGGCTCCGACAGGCAGCTCCCTGGCACTGACTCTAATGCAACATGCCAAGTCCACTGAGCTTTTCAGCCGTCGCCCCCCGAGCCCAACCACCACATCCTGCCATATGGGCGGCTCTCACTCAGGATGGCGCCTGTCACTGGGAAACGAGATGGGAGGCGAAGGCTGCAGAAGGAATCGCTCCGAAGAGGGACATGTGTCTCCTGCCAGGGAGGGCGAGAAAGGGGCCAGGCAAATGTAAGTGACGGATAAAATAAAAGGGAGAGACAGCGCGTGTGGGAGTGAGGGGGCTGGAGGGAAAAGCCAGCGGGAGACGGCACCAAGACAGCGCAGGAGGGAGCTTGCTGGGGCGCTCGCTGCCCCTTTGAGGCACAGCAGGCGCTGGCAGGATGGCTCCTCTCTTCCCTCCTCCTTCCTGGGCACAGACAGAGGCGTGTCGGCCGGGGAGGGGCTCAGCAGGGAAAGGCGGTGGGAGGCCCCCAAACCCCTGAGGCCTGGCTCGATTCAGGGCAGACTGGCACTAGACAGGGGAACGGAGCAGAGGCAGAGACAGAAGCAGAGGTCACAGCGCAGCGGAGATCGGTCGGCCTGTGCTTGGGGAAGGGAGACAGGAAGGGAGAGCCAGCGTGTGCTGGGCCAGGCAGGCCTCCCGCTAAAACAGCAATGCACCCTGGGCTGCGCCGCATCGGGCCCCCGCGCCCAGCCAGGGGCTTCATTCCACGCGGCCTGGGTGGTCTTTCGGAAACACCTAGACGGCGTGTGGGCCGGCGGCCATGGGCTGATGCACAGGGGGAAGGGCTATCCATAAATCAAGCGCAGAGTGGCTCTCAAATACGCACACTCCAGTGCAATCCCCTCCAACCCCCCTCCCGCGACTCTCCCTTCTCCCTCGGTGCCGGGGAAGGCTGGTCCTTGTGGCTAGCGGAGCCAGGGGAGATTTGCAAACACGAGAGAGGGAGGCGAGGCCCAGCACTATTTTCCAAGAGCACGGCACGTCAGAGGTACGGCGCAAACCTTCAGGGAGAGGCAGGATTCCCAGACAAGTGGGCGTGGAGGGACTGGGAAGTTTTTACTGCGGGAAGCCGGCCCAGCAGGCAGCAGGATGCCGGGGCTCAGACTTGGCTGCTCCATGGGACCAGCCAGCGTGGGCTGGGTTCTTTTCTCTGACTTCCCTCCCTCCCCTCCCACTAAGTAATTGTTTCATCAGAGCAGCAGCTGCCCAACTAGACTCTGCCTTGCAGTTGCTCAATTGTCGTCTTCCAACTGCGATTTTGCCAATCCAGGGGAATCTTTAATTGGCCAGCTGTGCAGCCCTTGATGAAACAAGTGCTCCGACTGTTTGGGAAGCAGCGCCAGCCTCCCCAGAACTCGCCGCAGCCCGAGGGAGGGGAGTCGGCAGGAAAACCGACGGGTAAATACACGGCTAGTGGAACGATAAAATCAATTAATGATAAACCAAGTGATCCTGCTTCTCCATCGCTCCGCGGCTGTGCAGGCCCTTGAGCTCCCAGGGCCTGGCCCGGCAAGCCCGTTACTCAGTACTGGGTCTGGCTCCCGCGTGCCAAGCCGTAGTGAATAGACGCTGGGCAGCATGGGCGATTGAGGTAGCTGGGGTTTGGGGAAGCAGGCCCCCAGCCCCACCCCCTCTGCTGAGGCTCCACCCCCATGGGGAGGGGAGGAGGTGGGGCAGCGCGCTGAGTATGTACAGCCCCCCCCACAGGGAGGGGAACAGATGGGCAGGGGCGCGTGCTCCAGACTCCCCAGCCAGGAGCACAGGGGCTGGGGGCAGCAATACTCCACTGCAGAATGCCTGCAGCAGGCATTTTGGGGGTGGAGTGGGGGCAGGGCCAGGCCGGTGGTTTGGGAAGGCAACGCCCTCCTTGGCCTTAGCCACTGGCTGCCCCTGCTGGGCAGATTTAGGGAAAGGAAGCTGTCACGTTATTGGATTGTGAGGGGAGCAGCCGGGTCACTGCTGCACCCATGGGGGCGTGTTCGCCCCACAAGTGGTCCAAAGGGGCCATGTGAGGGGTCAAACAAAAGCTACTTTCTTCTGAGTCTGTATCTGCTCTTCATAGATCTGCATAATGTCTGGGTGTGGAGTTAGGAATCTGTAACCTGGATGGAGACTGGACGTCTCTCTGAATGTGGTTGAGCATTGGGCAGAGCCCGGCCTATGGACATGCTAATTAGCGAGGCCCTGTGGGACAATGGCACTCGACGGGCCAAGGACACACCTCGGGAATGGTGACCGACACCTAAGGGCTGCCAGCAGGGAACACAGGGATAGGCTGCTGGCCAGGTGACCTGCTGCAGCCAAGAAGAGACCAGGAAGGAGGGATAAAGAGGCCATGTGGTGGGCTCAGCACTTCATCCCAGAGGCAGCACTGCAGGGATCGAAGGGCTGGAAAGACCTGTGAACCCATCCTGATCTAGGATGTGCAACTAAGGACTTCTAAGCCAGCAGCTGTAACATCTCTGCTAGAGCCTGCAGCGAGGACTGGGAGATTCGTTGCATGTAATGTACTATCCTTTAACAACCTCACTCTCAGGCTTTTCTTTCTGGTAGCAATAAATCTTTAGATGTTAGATGCTAAAGGATTGGCTCAGCATGATTTGTGGGTGAGATCCGGAAGGTAAATTGATCAGGGATCTGTGGCTGGTTTCTTGGAACCGGACAGAACTTGTTTGGGGTAGGTGGGATTGGGTGCTAGGACCCCCCACCAGTGTATGAGGCCCGGGGCCATCTGGGGCACGGATATTGCTGGGGTGTCGGAGGGGTTGTGCTCAGGAGGTTTCAGGCAGGCGGCTGAAGCGCTCTGTGGGACTGGTTTGTGGCCTGTTTGGGAAGGTCTCCAGTCTGGGGCTGTAAGGAGCCCTGAAGTTGAGCAATTCGCCCTGAGCGGACGCCCTCAGCTGTGTCCAGACCCGGCCCGGTCCGTCACAGAAGCCCAGGGTTTGCGTTCAGAAATGCCTGTGCCGCTGCAGGCCTCTGGCATCTTTCCTGCCACGGACTCACGCCCCCCGCTCCCCGCTGGGATGGAAAGGAGACCTTGTGGAGGGGTTCCCACGCAGCGGCGGATTTAGGGCAGGGCGAGCGGGGCGGCTGCCCCGGGCCCTGCGCTTCCCGAGGCCCCGCGTATGTGCCGTGTCAAAGGAGGGGCCCTGCGAAACTTCACTGCCCGGGGCCCTGCGGCATCTCATCTCCCCTGTTCCCACGGCCCACGCGCCAAGGGCCAGGAAGGAGGACTGGGTATGTGTGAGTGGGGGGGGGGCAGAGAGCAGCGTTCTAGGTAGAGCCCTACACCCATATAAAATTGGTGTCTGCGTCTGCATGGGCCTCCTTCCCAAGCCACCAGCCTGGCCCCGTCACACTCCTGCCCTTCCCCGCTGCTCTGGGGGTGCTGGGGCGTTCACGCGCTCCTCCCCTCCCCGTGGCAGGGGCGGGGCCTCAGCAGAGGGGGCAGGGCTGTCGGTGGGGCTGGGGCTGCCTCTCCAGGTACAGCTGCACCGTCCGTCCACGCGCGGCTGCAGAAATGAGCGGCGGCTATCCGCGCCCAGAGCCTGCAGGTATACGGTGAATATCCGCGAAGGGGCAGGGCTCTAGCTATAGCTGGAGACCTGAGCAAAGGCCCCTGCTTTAGTGGAAACAACTGGGGGAGGAAACGAGATCTCCCCCCCCCCACCCCGGATCCCTACTTGAACTCCGGGTCTCTGCTCCACCATGTGTCCCCGGAGTGGCCGTGCTTTGGGGCCTTCCCCCCCGGCCACTGCCCAGCCCAGAGGGCGGCCACTAGCACAGCAGAGAGCCAGCTCGTTCCTGCCCCACTTCTCAAGCGCTCTGCGGGGGGGCACAGCTCACTGCGTTCTCTCACCTCCCGCATGGCAAGTGGCTCGCGCCTTGGTCTCGGGAGCTCCAGAGCTTTCTGCACCCTGGGGCCGCCTACAGCCCGGTTCTAGCCTCGTGCATAACTCTGGCGCGGCTTGGCTTCGGTTCCTTCGTTCTTTCCAGTGACCAACAGCCCAAACCGCGAGGGCGTGTTCTCCCTGCATCCAGCCAGCTGCGCCAGAGACCCCTTTGAGACCCGTGCTGTCTGCGAGGGGCCTCCAAGCAAAACTATGGCCAGCTGGGACGGAACCTTCGGGGAGCTCAGCTGCTGAAGTCTACGCTCAGGAGAGACTAAACTCAGAGAAAAGTCGGGCCGGAAGGGACCCACGAGGACACCTAATCCACCCCCTGCCCGCCCATGCTGAGCGAGGACCAAATCAAGCCAAGTCGGCTGTGGCAGGCACTTTGCTCAAAAGCTTCCAAGGATGGGGGTCCCACAGCTCCCCTTTGGACCTAGTCTAGTACTTAACTACCCTTACGGTGAGAAAGCTTTTCCTGACTTCTAAATGGCTGCAAAGTAAGCCCGCCCCTCCTTGTCCAGTCACCAGGGGGCATGAAGAGTAATTCACCACGGTCCCGTCTAGAACGACTTTTCATCGCGCTGAGGACTGGTATGAGGGGCCTCTCCCCCCAGTATCTCCTCTCTAGATTAAATGTTCCCAATTCTTCCAGCCTTTCCTCCCCGATTGTGTTTTCTAACCTCTCTTGTGGGAAACATCTTCTCTAAAGCGTGGTGCCCAAAACAGGACACGGGACTCCAAAACGAAGCCTCCCCAACGGCAGCAAGGTAGTTACCATCGGTGTCTCAGATGCATCGCTCCTGTTAATACGCCCCAGAAGGCCATTTGCCTAGTAGCCACACCTATTTGTGATCGGCCCGATTCCCCAGATCCTTTTCCGCACTGCTGCTGCCTAGTCACTGGGACTTTTTCGCCTTCCTAGGTGCCCTGCTTTGCACTTGCTTTTATTGAATTTCATTTGCTGGTTTCACACCAATTCTCCAGTTTAGCAAGAGCAGTTTAAGGGCTAATCCTGTTCTCCAAACGCCTCCCCGTTCGGCGCCACCTGCACATCTGAGCAGCGCAGTCTCCGCTCCACCGTCGAGGTTATTAATGAAAACGCGGACTAGCCCCGCAGACCTCCACACGGTCTGTCCTCAGCCTGTGGGAACTGGGGTTTTCCAAGGCTTATAACTTGACCCAATGGGGACGATTTTCAGAGGAACGGCAAAAGGCCCATTCCTGACTCTGGCCAGTCCTGGCTACATTTCAGTGCGTTCGGGCACTAGAGTTTCTCCAAGAAACTCAGAATTTGCATCTCCCGCCCTGTGTTGCTCTTGGAAATGGCTGAACCACCGTGGCTGAAACTTTCCAAACTAATTCAGCACAGAAACTGCAGCCCAAGCTATAAACAAGCCCATGACCAAAGGTCTTGGAATGGGAAGACTCGGACAGGGGGTGCGACCAACCCCACCAAATGTAGCCTCTGTAGCATTTGCCGTGTGCTGCCCGTGGCGGACGCTTACCGGGCCCAGCTCCTCAGCTCCTCGAGAGACAGCAGCTCGCCCTCCTTCAGCTGCACCACCGCGCTGACCCGCTGGCCCCACACCACATCTGGGGGCCCTATCACGGCCACATCTGGAGAGAGAGAGCAGAAGGCTCAGAAACTCAGACCCACTTCCAAGAGAGCAGGAGAGCGTGAAAGCGAATTGCGACACCAGCCAGGTGGGCCGGAGCCGCCACGTGCGGGGGAGGAGAGGATCGGGGGCGGGGGATTGCTAAGAGTAAGGGGGGAAAGTGGGTAGAAGAATATCAAGCACTCTCCTGCTCGCAGAGTCTAAAAGAGCGGAAGAGCTGCCCAGCCAGCCTGGATAGTGTGAGAACTTCCCTGTGCTCATTCCAGCCCCGATGGGCAGCCCTCGGTTCCCTCCCCCAGCAACGTCAGGGAAGAGCGAGCGAACATTTCTCATTTCCAAAAATCTGCTGCTGAGTCTGCACCTGGCTGTGAGTTTCTGACTTCCGCCCCCCCCCCCCCCCCCCGCCCCGGGC